GGAGGGTGGTGTTACGTGGGATTCACGTCTTTGTAATGGTGGTGTTCCATGAACTTTAACACATATTGCTTTAATTTTCTTGTGTTTTGGTTCATTTAAATGTAAGCTTTAATCTGATTAAACATTGTCGCATTGTAAACGAATTGAAAAGGTCATTTGAGTAAACTTATATTTGATGTATGAATGCTCGGTGTCGGTGGTGATTGGTGAATGCATACAAATCTTATAATTTCATGAAAATATTCTTTTGTCATGTAATAACTTTGATAAATTGTCTTTATGTACTTACCTTTGGTAAACATAACTTTCGTAGGGTTTATGTTCACCTCGTAGAGTATTTCAAACGCAAATTTAGTGTGTTGCGTTTAGGTTTAGTGTCTTAGTTTGGTAACACAACTTTGTAGGTTTATGTTCACTTCGTAAAACAAACTAATTTAAATTTTTAAAAATTTAGAAATGGAATAATATGGTATATGAGTCGTTGAACCCAAAAAAGCTTGAGGAACTATTTGGTCGCCGAGTTTTAAGCAAAAATGTCTCATCTTCTCAACAGTCTTCACCATTATTATTGTTACCTTATGACTTTTGGCTAAGAGATTGGACCTCAACCTGAAATCTTGTTTAACCTTTTTTGTTGAATCTCTTTGTCACGCTCGCCTAATCATGTTTTGGAATTAACGTACCAGAATTATTCCACTAATCTGCCTACTAGTGACAAATTCTGAGGACGAGAGAGATTACAAACATACTTTATTGCTCAAGTTTCAAAATAATTGATTCCTTAAAATCTTTAACATTAATTTATTAGATTTATCCATTTAGATCATGCTTATGACGATCAGGATGATGATTATAATCTTTTCAGAATTTTTTTTTTTTTTTTAAATTTCATTAGGTTTTGGTTTGAGAGAATACTTCATTATAGATGGGATCAATTTTGGAGAGAAAACGAAATGGGTTTGGTACAAACAAAAGACATTCTACGAAGTGGACCCTATTTTTTTGTCTGTCTAGTCCTTGCATACACTTTCTTCTCTCTATAATCTGTCACATAGACACACTGCAACTTCGAAAAAACTCTTAAGAGACTTTCTCAATTTCTCTCTTCTCTATGAGAAGATCACATACTTTCTGAAACAGAGATGAGGAACTATAAATTAAGATTGTCAGTTATGATCCCAAGTAAATGGTTTCACAAGCTCAAGAACATGACCAACCTCAGAAAAAAGAATCATCCTCCTTATTCCTTAAGCACTATCAAGAAGGAAAACATTTCCTCTGAGTCTAAATCTCTTTCTCACTCTTCTTCAAACTCTTACTTCTCGAATAGATCACACACTTCTTTAGAAGCTAAGGTCCTTCAAATTTCACCAAGAAACTCTGTTTACATGATGCAGAGCAAAAGAAAGTCTGTTTACAAGCCATCTCCTGCTTCCTCTTCTTCTGTATCTGCAGGTTTTAACAAAAACAAGATCAAATTTCTTCCAAACCAAGATTCTTCCGCTGCCTCTTCCAATTTGAAACTCAGTTCTTCCGCAGAAGATATCATCATCGACATGAGAAACAGAGATTTCAAGAAGAAAATGTTCAAAGAGATCAAGGTGTCTGATTCAATAAAGAAAGCCTGTCCTGCAAGTAACCGAACCAAGGAATCACGTAAAATCCATCATCTATCTGTGAAGGTTAACAATAAAGATAAAGTGGAAGAAGAAGCTGCATGTAGAATCCAGAAAAAACATCAGAAAACATCAGTTTCTAGTGGAAGAAGATCATCTGCAAACTCTCCAAGGATAAAAGTCAGAGTGAGTTCTCCTAGAGTTCAAGTCGCACCTCGTAGAAGCAAATCGAGATCGCAGAGCAGACAAGTGATTAACAGTTTTGCAGTAATCAAGAGTTCTCTTGATCCTAAGAAAGATTTCAGAGAATCAATGGTGGAGATGATAGCAGAGAACAACATTAGATCTTATAAAGACATGGAAGATCTTCTAGCCTGTTACCTTTCCTTGAATCCCAAGGAGTATCAAGATCTTATCATCAAGGTTTTCGTTCAAGTTTGGCTTGAAGTCATAAACTCTACATTTGCATCCAAGTAAAAAACCTGTAATTGTTGGTAGCTACAACTTCTGAATAGTTTATTAACAATGAGCATAAAGAAGCATAAATTCTCTGGTAAAATTGTAGTTCTTTTCAAGGAGTTTGATGTAATTGTATTGTATGGAGATTTTCTTTACAAGACAAGACCTGTGTTGTGTTTTATCTGTATTACATAATAAGGATAAATGTATCAGTCGCTTTTCTTGTCTATGATTGTATGATTTGTAAACATTAATCATTTTTGAATCACTCTATTTGAAATCGTTTAGCGGAGGACTAGACGCTCTAGGCGTTGGATCATCGCCAAATTAACCTCTTAACATTGAAAAAAACAAAGAAAAAGCAATAATTGTAGTAAGATAAAACATATAAGAGAGAAAATGGTAAGTCACAAAAGCCCCAAACCCAAAAGAGAAAGAAGAGCCAAGAGTGTGGTGACAAGAAGCACACGGAGGACAAGTCAGAAACCCATCAAGTACGGAGTAGCAATGGGTTCCAGTCCTAAATTCCTAATGATTAATGAAGCAGCAAACATGAAAATGGATCCTGAAAGAAACATAATT